AATAGATATTTTATTGGGGGCTGAGCTGTTCTGGAAATCCATTAGAACAGATCAGCTTAAAATAAGTAATAATTCGGTACACCTGCAAAAATCTGTATTTGGGTACCTTCTGGGCGGAAGTATTTTAAATAAGCATAAAAACATCAATAAACCAGTGTGCAATTTAACCCTAATTAGTTTAAGTAAGCAGGTAGAGACATGTTGGGGTACCGAACAATGGCCAACTACAGATAAAGTTTGTCGAACTCCAGAGGAAATACTATGCGAGGAAAAATTTCTAAAGAGTCATAAACGAGACCCGGCTGGGCGGTTTCCGGTGTCTTTGCCATTTAAGACTAATCCCACAATTTTGGCTAAATCCAAAGACAGGGCCATAAAACGATTTATGGCTGTAGAAAACAAATTTAAACGAGATGCGTCTTTAAAATCCAGTTATCATCAATTTTTACACAAATACAATGAAGTTAATCATATGCAATTAGTAGCAAACCCATTGGAAGATGAATACACACGATCCACTAATGCAATTGTAAAATTATTACAAGGGGTAGAATTTGCCGATGAAATTAAAAACCTCAGCGTTAATAAATCAGTTAACAACAACAGCAAACTAAGGAGACTCAATCCTTTTATTGATACGAATGGTATCATACGCGTAGGAGGTCGTTTACGTAATGCTAACTTAAGGTACGATCAAAAACATCCTATGGTATATAAACATCATATAACAAATCTCATTATTAAGGAAATACATGTCACTCAATTGCATGCTGGTCCAGCAGCGACCCTTTCATCGGTACGCCTTAGGTTCTGGCCATTAGCAGGTAGAAACCAGGTAAGACAAGTAATCCATAACTGTCTTAATTGCGCTCGGGTAAAACCTATGGAATTTAATCCGATAATGGGAGAACTACCATCAGTTCGGGTAGTTCCAGAGCGACCGTTCGGTAACACGGGAATCGATTTTGCAGGACCTATGCTTATTAAAGATGGTAAAACACGAAATAAGCGAACAGTTAAATCATATATACTCGTAGCACTTTTTATCTGCTTGTCAACAAAGGCTATCCATCTGGAATTAGTCGGCGATCTAACGGCATCAACTTTCTTGAGTGCATTGAAGAGATTCATTGCTCGACGAGGTATTGTTAAAAATATTTATTCGGATAATGCGACTAATTCTGTAGGAGCCAGGAATGAACTGAAAGATATTTTTAAACATACTAATTTTGCACTAATTGAACAGCATCTTAGTAAAAGGGAGATCAATTGGCATTTTATACCGGCCAGGGCTCCGCATTTTGGCGGTATTTGGGAAGCGGGGATAAAATCCGTGAAGTACCACTTGAAACGCGTAGTAGGGGAGACTAGGTTGACGTACGGGGAAATGTATACTTTGTTGACGGGTATAGAGGCTTGCTTGAATTCGCGGCCTTTGTGTCCTCTTAGCGAAGACCCTAACGACGAAGGGGTGCTAACCCCGGGTCACTTTTTAATTGGCGCACCGTTAACTGCAATTCCTGAACCAGAAGTTACACACCTACGCGTCAATCGCCTGTCACGGTGGCAGCACACCGAACAGACTCGACAACATTTCTGGAACCGGTGGTCCCGCGATTATTTACACCATTTGCAGCAGCGGACCAAGTGGCAGCTACAGGGAACAACGGCAGCAAGACCAGGGATGCTAGTGGTTCTCAAGGAGCCAACTCCACCCTTGACCTGGAGGCGCGGCCGCATAGTTGAGCTACACCCAGGGGCTGACGGACACATCAGAGTGGTATCCGTACGAACGGGAGATGCGATTGTGAGGCGAGCGTTACGAACATTGTGCTTGTTGCCGTCCGAGTGATCAAACGTTTAGACATTAGAAACACTTTCACGGTTGTTTTTTATCTTGATCAATTCATATCGTATTATCATTTCAAGATTAACATGTATTATAATTAGCGATGTTATTATGTTAGGAAATTAATTACATATTCACATGTTCATATAGTAATTAATTTAGGTCGATTGATCCTGCGGTTCAATGCGGGCCGGGATGTTCGGTCCAGGCAGGTAGACCGAAGGAGAAGGGGTGCAGCAGACTCCACCCTCTCACCCACCACCACCACTTGTAAATATGTACATTTAAATAGCAGTAGATTCGAATAAACCGTCAAGTGAAAAGGTCGTCTCTCATTGAAACTATATTTATAGTTTCAACAACATCATTTTGGTCATCCATTGTGACCACAACATCATTTTGGTCATCCATTGTGACCACTTCATCATTTTGGTCATCCATTGTGACCAACATTTGTGGTCACCCATTTGTGACCGCTGGTCCTTCGAGCAAATACAAAAACCTTCCGTTAGGTCACCCACTTATGACCTAACATTTGGTACTACGAACCGAATCGTCACAATTTCCGTCAGGTCACCCATTTATGACCTAACAAGTACACTTGAATCCTGTCACGTTTCATTGATAAATAATTAATGCAGTCTGTACACTACATGTTAATTTACATATAATTTTATCGTGTGAATGTTACAGGATTTTATTTATATGTAACAAAATTTTATCGCAGATTGGTGTCAAAATATTTAATGTTGACTTTAAATGTGGGAAGAAATTAATTACAACGTTAAATAAAAATTGGAAATTTTAAATTGTGCTGTTTACAGTGTATTTAATACAATGCTGATTTTGCAGAGAATCTAATTATAAGATTGTTGATAACTCTTCCGACTATTGGAAGTTATAATATATGTCTATGTTATATATTATGTAATATTCATTGCAGTAATTTTTCAGAAAATTTCGTATAGCAATTTGCACTGAAAGTCACGTTTACAAAGCAACTGGTAAAAGGTATCTTTTTTTCCTATAAAAGCATTAGCTACTATTTCATAAAAAAAACTGGACACTAATGTAATTTCACTGTAATTTGTTACTTAAGTATCCAGTTTTTTGAATAGAATAGTCCGTATTACATATATGGGAAAAGTCGTAGTAATTAATAACACTACTTATGTATAATTGTAACTGTATACAATTGTAGAAACAAGTTTTAGTTCTATTTAAATTTAAATTTGCTGTGTTACAAAGTACAAATTAAAAAAAAAACTTTTTCCTCATTTTCGTAACACAATTTAACAAGCAAAAGCAAGACAATCCACGAAAGTTAATCAGCAATAGGTGTTTAACAATTTTATTATTTCAGCAGGTATTATTTTATTATAGTCATAGTCAGAGTGGCAAACACTTGCGTGGAAACTATGTATGTACCGACCCTGTTCAAAAATGGCGCACCACCTCAATGGTGCAGTATTAAGTTTACAAGTCTAAGTTTGAGAAAAAACATTTAGAAAATTCCTTACGTCAATTTGATGGTCACTTAAAAAAAATAAATATCGATTTAGATAGATCAAAAACGTCAAAAATTACCCACTATTGTTAAATTGTCCTAAACAAGATTTAAGTTTCTTGTTATATTATAAAATTAGGCATACGATTGATAAAGACAAGATACCTTCAAAATTATTTTGAATAAATAAAAGTCCGATAGATTTTACTCAATAGAAAATAGTGAATTAAAATAAGGTGAAATTTCAAAAAGAAAAATTAAACCTTGAAAGGGTGTACTTTCTACATTTCAACAATAGAAATTTTTTAATTATTTTTCCTCTGCTTCATGAATATATCATAGCATCGTTGCGCAACTTTTAGAACACCCTGTGTGTACGACAAATTCACGCTTGAAAGTTTTTTCATTGTTAGAATGGTAAATATTTCTTTAATGAAATTGTTCAAAAAATTGTTTTTAAAGCCAGTGTGATCTATGATACGCTACTAATCAATATAAATTTTTTTAATTTTGTGATAATCTGAAATAAGCTTAAATACAAATAAATTAATAAATTCTTTTTTATATCAATATGTTTGTTAACTAACCTAAAAGTAGGTACTTACAAACATGGAATGTAAGCATTTCTCGTAATAAGAAATATCAGAAATATGTATAACTACAAAAAAAGCGTTGGCAGTATTTCTACCTTTGAGTAATTTAATTTTTATCAGTAAGTAAGACTGATTTCAATTTTGAATTTTATTTAATGTCTTTGTAATTAATTATGTATGTAGAAAGGCTGTTAATGAAAGTGAAAATTGCTCTCTAATTTTAATAAAATATTCATTTATATAATACTGTGATATTTAATCTTAATTACCGTTAAAATGGCTTGTAAAACTAATTTGTCAAATTATTCTCACATTATGTTTTATTAATTAATTTAGGAAGGAAAATTGCCACAGAACATACATGAAGTTAGTTTTTTCATAAACTGTGAGATACCACCCAGGTCAAAATATGCGTTCACGACCTTTTAAGCCGTGGAAATCTAGTAACTTTCAAGTGCTTTCAATAGTGTAAGCTAGGAAAGTATTGTAATTTATAATGGACTATACATTGCTAATTTCATGTTTGTTCGATGTTTGATAGCTCCCAAAGCATGGAAAAGTAGATCTCCATTTCCGTCGCCATACGCGAACTAAATGACCGTTGGGGGCGCCACTGTTAACTGCAACATGGCCGCTCTAAGGCATATTTGACGTATCCTTTATGGCAAGTCTTAAGTGTCCATCGTGTGAAAAAAGTGTGTTGTGTTAATAAATCGAGCGTTTTTGTAGTGGATTTGTTCAGTTTACAGCCTGTTTCGTTGTTAGTGGCAGTTTTTTTTGTAGTTCTCATTTTATTAACCCTTTGTTTAACTTTTTAAGTGAACACATGCTAAATCATGTGGTGTTAAAACTTCTGTGAAAACTTTATTAATTATAGCGATTATTGTTTTTTAAATTAAGTGTTCATTTCATACTATGTATGAGTGGAATAATGCATAATAATAAAATAATAAAGCATGAATATTACAGGTTATTGCTGTCACCGTTTTAAACAAAACTGCTAAAACAGCATAAGAAAATGTATTTTTCAGTTTCATAAAAGTTAACAGAACACGTTCTTTCAAGTTTAATTTATGTTTATTACAGAATTTTCCAAACATCTCACAATTTGCAACAATAGCATTAAATAACAGAAAGGATGGTATTCCAGCCATTGTATTTAAATCATTATCAGATTTAAGTGTACTTATAAAAGGTGCCACTAAATCTCCACTTGTCACTTGAATATTTTTATCCTTTTTTTGTGAATTTTGTAAATGTAACAAAGCCTGCACGGTTTCCATTTCTAATGCTAGAAAATAATCTGTATTTTTTAAATATCATCAAATGTATACATACTTGAAACAGTTTTTTGATGTAACTGACTGCTGTCGAAGCAATTTACATCAGTACTATCTGTACTTGAAATTATGTAACCTTCAGATTTTTTCATTGTTGTACTTCTGACTGCTTTAAAGTCTCGATTTTTGGGCCTTCTAGGTAGTAATTCTTTAGTAATGATACTTACATCTACAATATTTCATTTATTGTCTATTATACATTAACAACATTTACCCAAATCTGTACTTACCAGGTAATATTTTTATTTTTATTTATTTTATCCTATGATGTCTCTAACAAGCTGGAGGCCCAATTACAGGAAACATGACATACACAACACCCAAAAGGCAAGGCGGGAATCGAACCCACGACCCAAGGTGTAGTGGGCAAGCACGAAGCTAACTAACCCACCTGGGTCCTCAAATTAAATCCTCAATATGAAATCATCCTGATTACAATGTAGTGAACACACTTTCATGTGCTTTGTTGCTGGTTTTCCCATATTTAGCTTTACCATCCTAGTCTTATATCTGTCCATTCTTTTCCCTGATTCCTAACCTAAAAATATAATATATATATACATATTATATTGATAATCAAAAACAATTTAGTTAAATACTGATTAAACTAAATTTACTGTTGATATGAATACTTACCTGTTCATAACATTTAAACAAATGACTTGTTTTTTATGGGGAATTTATGAAAAGAGAGCCCACTGTTTCTATTGTTTTTGCTATGGCAGCGAAAAACACAACAATTTGTATTGTTAACAGTCATTTTTTCAGGAATACTGGGACCAACTTATTTAATTTTGTTGGTTTAACCATGGCCGACCAGTATAAAGATTATGGCCTGTCCAAAGGAATGCCAAAGGTACCATACGTGCTGCCATCTATTAATAATTCAAAATCGACAAAAGAATTATTAACACCTTTTGAAAGGCACAAAGGCATTCATATCCAAACAAACCACCATTACATGTTTTGAAGTCCCATAATGTCAAGTCAAATTAAAATTTTGCTAAATTATTAAGTGTAATTATTAATAGATGGCAACACGTATCGTACCTCTTGGACAGGCCATAATGTTTATACTAGTCGGCCATGGTTTAACATAAAACAACGAAATTTCACTGTACAACCAACAGTATTTACATCTTTCACTATGCTCCTGAGTAGTGCACATTTTTGACACCAGGTGTCGTATCAGATCATTTAGATCTAAAGTCACTAGATCTACTATTACTTTTAGAAAGTACGGCAAACTGCCTGTGGTCGGAATTCGACAGAGAGGAACCTAACCTATGTGTTAAACAAAGATAGCGCGAGGCTAGTAATTTTCGCTATCTGTCAACGAAAGTTTGATGTGTTTACGATTTGAGGTTACGACAGACTGTACTAGAATTATTGAGTTAACGGACCGGAAAGAACATTATTCCAGTCACAAAGTAACTCCAGCCCTATTCAACGAGAAAGTGTCACCGGTAACCAGCAAACAGTCGTGGAAGACGTGTTACCACCAAGGCAATTGACGGCCAAATGACAGTAACAGGATCGCCATACTGGAAGCAAAAAATACCTGCTGTCGAAAAGACGGAGCATAACAAGGACACAGATATATTTCTATTTCATAAAAGTTACTAATTGCCACACATTTCAAGATCGAGTCACATTATTTAGATCGCGTATAGGCGATTTGATTGAACACATAATAATTTGTATAACTACTACATTGACTATTGTGAAATTACAGATTATTTTAGGACTATCGTGCAGAACACGCTAATCCAGTATTTGTGAGGACATCTAAAAATTTTGCTAGATGAATTTGCTAGACAGCTATAATTTTGGTAAAAATTGCATTAAGGTTATCGTAAACATGCTGAATCGTTAATCCAAATTTATTTGTTTATCCTCTCCAAAACATGTTGAAGTTAACTCAAAATTTTGCTAGATAAATCCTATCTAAAATGTGGAAAATGTTGTGTATCTACACTTGTGTTTTATCAGTGCACCCATATTTTTTAGAATTGTTTATACAGGATATCTCAAAAAAATTAATGATTAAAGCGTTTTATTTTATTGATTAAATCAAAAAGGGCTTATCTATTTTCCTGAAGTTGTCGGAATACAGACTCTTTTTAACGATTCCAAACATGATTTTTCGCACTAATAAAATTTTAAAATTTAGACCTATTAAGCATATATGTATGAATCTATTTTTTTCTGTCTACCATGGCTCTGTTGCTTATCACATCTAAACATAAAATTTTAATTTGTAAGTTTTAGGTGAATAATGAATAAAAATGAAATACTTCACCTTAATTTGCTAACCAGAAACAACAATTTACTGCAAATTAAAAAACTTTGTGGTAACCCATTTGCTTGAACACAGATTATACTGGAGAATGATATAAAAAAAATTACGAATTTACGAACAAAAGTGAACAGGATAATACACAGTAAAAAGTGTTTCTCTGTATAAAGATAACATACTTTTGAGTATATTATTATATTCATTATTAAAATTGTCAGCACCTTTGTAATCAACATCGGAGGAACAAGAATAGTTTCCATGAAAATTTAAGAATCTGGACTAGAAAATACAGTGTTACGTAATATTGTGTTGCACAATCATCACATATTCTTTTAAGAAGAACTTAATCGATATTCTGTTTCAGCTAACCCAAATTCCATTAAGTCGAGTATAGATGAAACAAGCCCACAATCTCTGTGATTCCTTTAGATTTAGTCAAGCTGGTTTTAAAAACGCCAGTGGAATTACTTTAAAATGGATTAAGGCTTAACCAAGCCTCAGTGTAAAAGAGAAACAGACAAGATTTCGAGTTACATTATCTTGCTGAACCTGAAAAGACCACACGAAGAAGGTGGAAATCACTTTCCAATCTCTGAAATAAATTATTTTTTCAGTGCGAATTATTACTGAACGTAATTATGTAAATTCTGTCACTTTAAAAATTCTTCGTGACAAAAGTCTCTCAGTTATTTATGCAAAAGACATGTCATAAGGAAAATGTACGTCTTATCGCTAAGTAAGGTTCCCAGAATTCAGGGAAAGTAAATGGATTTGTAATACAGTAATTTCAAAAGATAAAATATAATACGAGCACCACTACATCGTCTTTAATGAGTACTTATGTAATATTCGTATTTTTATGAATAATAATTTTATCAAGTTTTGAAACACACGTATGTACGTACCTTATGTGCAAATTTTAACCGTTATTCCGAAATTAAGCTGCAAAATTTGATGGTGAAAAAAAAATTTATGTAAAAAAATCGGTACAAGCAAAAGTAAAAAATTAAGAGATCATCAAACAGAGGAGTATGTCTTGCTACGGAGGCGAATTATTTAAAAATAATTTTAGGTTAAAATTTTTGGTTGCTTTAGAGATGATGAATAGAGTAATGTAATTAGCATCTTATTACGAACAATATCTGCCTCACTATTCAGAAAGTGACCACAAATTTATTAAAAATGAAAACACCTTTTAAACTTTTAAAAATTTATTCTAAAATATTTAAAGATTTCTCCAAACGTCTGACAAGTAATAATTCAGATCAAGTTATAAGTTGAGGATAGGCGGAAATTACCAGTTAAAGCGAAGACAACTCTCTAGAATTTCACGATATTTAAGATGAGAGAAATGTAGTGTAATGTTACTGAAAAAACTTTCTCTTCACCCCACTGTTTTATTGTGATTTTAAACTTTCTAAATCCACTTTCTTTCACTTTTTATAATCTTTCAAAAATGTGCTTAGTTATACATCAAAAATACCCAACAGGCACCATGTAAATCTGTGATAATGCAAACTGCAGAAGCTTAGTAAAGTTTGAAGTATGTAAGCAAGTGCTTGCTCACATTAGAATATTAGTAAATTGTTGAGGAACTCCGTCTTACAGTCTGCACTATGATTTATTTTCCTTAACATATTACACTTTTGGTATTTTCAATATTTAATTGTTTGAAGTGTTGCTCTTATTCTGTATAAGTTTAAATGAAGTATGCATACTCCAAGTTTTCTCTACAAAATTCTGCCATTTAACAAGAGTTAATTGTGTGTGTACGTGGGCTTATTTTACAGCAAATGAGTCTGTTCATATGTTTTAGCCTTTACTGAAGCAACCAAAGTTCCTTGAATATGCTTTTTAAGCGCGTAGAAACCCGGCAAGGTTTGAGTTTTATTTAAAATTTATCTCGTAATTAAAAAATACTAGAGGATCTCTAAACTTATGAAGAATCTGGGTCAAATGAGAGACGGTAGACATATGTAATCTGCTGGTTCGTGGGAATTCCTGATATATTTAATAATAATGGTAATGATAATAACCTATATTTATTACTTAGATCATACAAAACTTTATTGTGACAGCTCAGTTTTTAATATTACAATAAAAATAACACCATGGATACAATAGAGGAAATTATATCTAAATATATAGATATGTCACAAAAAACACTGAAATTACAAATAATTAAGTATCATCTAATCATACTACGAATCATTCATTTTGTCGATAAACTGCTTAATTATGCACTAGTTGCTTAACTTTTTAATAAGATTTTATTTATTTGGCAAATAACAATACCTACTATATTTCACCGCTGCCTCCCGGTGATACTTCTGAGCTTGGTATAGTTTTGGAAATTTCATTCTACCCTATGAAATTTTATTGACGATATCGAGACGGACAGTAGTACAATGGTAAGAAATATTTATGGCTCACACCAGTTCACTCGAATTGATCTGAGAACATTTACCAGGTAGTTGTACTCATAAAATAATGGTCATTTCCGTTCATGAGTAGCGATGGTCCATGTACGGACCTGGATTATTCTGCATCTGGGGATTACCGGAACGCGACAACTTAAGTTGTAAATATCTCTTGCTATTGTACTACTGTCCGTCTCGTTATTGTCAATAAAATTTTATAGGGTACAATGAAATTTCAAAAACTATAAATAGTCAAGGATAAATATCATGGAAATTAGAGGACCTAAAGTACTCCCTTGAGGCGCTCTGAGATCAAAGAGCTTTATATTAAAACTGAAAATGTTCACTTTCTAATGTATTCTTATAACATCTTGTTGGCGATCTGTTAAATAGTTTCTAATTTGTTATACAGGGTGTTCATTTTATTTGTTCACGCCTGACAATTTTTGAATAGTTAACATATTATACACCCCAGAGACGACTTCGTCCACTTTATTTTTTTTTAATAAGCAATCATAGCAATCACAGAAAAAAAATATGACAAAGAAGTCAATGCCAAATAATGACAAAATTGAAAAAATTAACACATATTCAATTTATTAATGGATCAGATTACAACGAAAATGAATTTATAATAAACGTTCAAAATGCCTGACTCCACTGTCTTCACAAAGTCCTATCCTACGTTCAATCCTCTATCTAACATGTTGGGAGTTATAGATCTGCATGACGCTATAATCCTTCCACGTAAGTGGTTTTCATTTTCGATTGGGACACTATAAACGTAATTTTTCACCTTCCCCCAAAGAAAAAAAATCTAATGGCGTTAGATCAGGGCCCCCTGCAGGCCAAGCGTAGTCTTCTTCTCTAGCAGTAAGTCTTGGTCCAAACGCCCTGTGTAAATAAGTAGTTTCTAACGTCTCTCTGATAATGAGCGGGAACGCCATCATTTTGAAACCAAATTATTCTTCGCATCTCTAGCTCTATGTTTTCCAACAGTTTAGGTAAAATATTCTTTAAAAAATTTAGATACATAGTTCCGTTTATATTTCCTTCAATAAAATGTGGACCAATGACGTGGTTACTAACAATTCTAAACGCTTGATTTGAGGGGATTTTCCTACTGGGATATTGGCTGGCCTAGAGACACAGCATCATCAAAATTTTTGTCACACTTTCCCAATATTAATAGCATTTCTGTTTTTTCAGAATTCGAAAACATTTTAAAGCAAACGAAAATTGAAAATATTTGGCTGACAGAAATAATTTGTCATAATTTTGGTTCTGATCATTGCTATCTGTGCATTCATTATTATCTGAAAATAAAAATTTATCAAAGCTGTTTATGAAACGTAAAATGGGTTGCCTATGCAGACATATTCAGGCGTGAATAGATACACTCCCCCCAAAAATTATCGCACCACCTCCAGTTCTAGCGAACCGGACTACATGTGGTTACCATATACATAGTAGTGATAAATGTATGCAAGACAAGGCCAAAAATGACAATATTTAAAAAATATACATATTCTGGGCCTGATTTGGAGACTCTCTTAAAGTAGGTACATAAGTTTATAAGCGTTAATTAAATTAATATCGTGTATTTCCACCCCTGGCTTGAACAACGGCTTCCATCCGTCGCTGCATACCTTTGTAAAGGTGCACAATATTGTCTTGAGGAATATTTTCCTATTCTACCATAAGAACTGCTTCTAGCTGTTGGAGAGTTCTAAAAGCAATTCTACGGCCCCAACACAACATTGCAGATCATCCCACACATGCTCGATGGGATTCATATCAGGGCTTCGAGCTGGCCATTCCATTATAGGCGTATCTGTTTCTCTGAAATAAGCTTGTACAACGCGCGCTATGTGCGGCCGAGCGTTATCATGCTTATAAACAAAATTTGTACCAATAAATGGCCCGTATGGAATGACATGTGGTTC